TCGAATCAGTGCATCGAAATTTTGGAAAAGTAAAAAAAAAAATGGAAAAAAGTCGAAATGGCAGTAGAGAGCTTAAATTTGGAGAAGAGATATAAAATGGAAAACTAAGAAACTTATTTCTTTGATACTTTTTGAAATTTTGTAAAGTGACCTGATTTTTGGAAGATTTTCGCAAAAAATGTCAAATTTGACAGGTAGAGAGTAGCAAATGAAACAAGATAAACTGTTTTTTTTTGTCATTTTGCAAGCACAAACTTCCTGCAAAGTCAAATTTTCAATAAATCTATTAATAAAAAAAAGTTCCATATGTTGTCACTTTATATGTGACACTGTAGAAAAAAAAACATTTCATTTAAATATAGATATTCAAAAAGTGATTTGAATATTTAATACTTACCCATTCCACAAAAATCCTTGTACAATGATAAGAGTGAAGTGGTGGTATATAGGGGTGAATCAACTTATTACTCATTTAGAATAATTCATTTTCAATTCAGAATATAAAAATTCTCGAAAAATGGCAAGAGTAAAGAGAGAGAGTGTAGAGGGATGAAACAATGTTTTTCATGTGAATCTATATTCAGAATATGCATTTTCAAAAAATAATTTGAATATTTAATAATTACCCATAAATACGTTTACGTTGACTGTTATCAGAGATCAGATCGCAAAATTCTATAAACATCTCTACGTTGTGTAATTATCGAACGAAAAAAAAAAACAATGGAAAATCAATAATTTATTTACTTACCTCTAAGATCAATTTTAATTTTTTGAGCTTAGCCCAGAAAAATATTCCCAACGCGATCTGATCACAAATTCAAGGAAATATGATGAATATTAGACCAAATATTTCACTTATATACTTTATATACATTATATATATACATTATATATAATGTTGTGTAATTATCTTCTGAATAAATAAATCAATTATTTAATAATATCGTTATTTTCGACGACGACTAATGACGTAAATATAAGGATATATGATACGTAGGTGGTGTGTATATGTGACAGTCATGTGGCGGATAGTCTAAATTATATACTATACTATTTTGTTACCTTTTGAGGACACTTCAGTTTTTTAGTATCATAATTATAGACAAATAAGATCTATTTGTATTTACTTATTTTATACAAAGTTAGAATAACTCCCTGAGTTTTTGACGAACGTAGATTGTGTGGTCAAAGAACAGAGCATTTTGATCTGTGATATTTTTTTATTCTCTGTGTCGAAGTCTTCTCTCGAATATATCAATCAGTATCAGCTGCTTTCTGTTCCACACTGATCAGCTGAGCAAAAAATGTTTTGTTCACAAAACATGTTCTTTTGTTTGTTTGAAAATGGTTGACAATGTTTTATCCGTAAAACATTCACCAGAATGTTACAAGTTCGGATTTTCAATCTCTAAAAATGTGTTAACCGATTCGATATCTGTAAAAAACACAATTCAAATCAAGTAAAATATAGAGCACTAAATCGTGGGGTGAGAACTACAACTAGGTAACTACAAATTTGGCGAAATCTGGATAAGTGCACATATAAATTCCATTAGGTGAGGCCCACACCATACTACAACTAGATATCTGTTGTAGACATTTTACAGGAGTTATTTAGAGTTTTCAAAACTAGATAAGTTGATGATCAGAAAAAAAGTTCAATCTACAACTAGATAAGTTCATAAAATAAAATAGATTATGAAAAAAAATGATGAGGAAAGTGATGAAAAATTATAAAAATATAAAAAATAAAAACATTTCAAACCAAGTTTCTCTACGACGTTTCTATTGTTAGGATATCCACAATCATTTTCTGGTGATAACTTTGGTACGATTATTAATATCAGTATTTTGAATATCTATTTAACATTTAGTGAACTATATTTTATTTTGACTTATTTGTGTTTTTTTACAGATTTCGAATCGGTCAACACATTTTTAGACAATGGAAGTTCGAACTTATATTATGTTCTTTTGTAAAGATATCCCGTTGAGGTTCCGCTGCATTTTCGCAGTTGAACCAAAGAGTAACAGGTTTATTTAACCTCTAATCTTTGTCAGAACGGTAATAGGGAAGTTCAATAATGACTTCATGAGGTTCATCATAATTTGTAAAACTGGAACTATTTCACTTTCCGCATCTGTGAGCATGGTTACTGATGGTTATAGAAATTGACAAGTAATATATATCACAATTATGAGAAGTAATTTCGAACAGGTTCAGATTGAATTAAACAGTTGAGGAAAAAATTTTACCGTAATTATTGATATAGTTATGGTAAACGAGTTGCTAAATGGTAACTTAGTGATTCACTGGTGTTTACTGAAATTAATAAAATTGCATTAATGTTAGATTCTCTTATAGCAGACCAGTTGATCAATTAGTCTTTATTGTGATCATAAAAAAAGTATGAACGGTTAACCGGTTCATTTTCGCGATATAACGATAACGATAGGTATAACAACCTTCAAATTATTTTTGGATGTAGGTATATCCGCTCTAGTACCGGTGTTTAATTAACGGGAACTTACGAAAATTTACGTATAGCCGTTATATAAAATATATGATTCGTGAACAAAATGTGTTATGTTCAAATGATCAGAGGATATCATGTCAATTTGAGATATGTTATATGACGTCATATCAATATTCATAATTATTTATGTATTTTGAAGTTGTAGCCCAATCAGTTTTTACTTTTAACCATTATTTTGATTGAAAAATGTTGATATTTTCATAGATATAATGACAAAATTTAATTAAACAATGGATAAGAAATATCTGTTAGATGAATACAAAATGATATTTTTTAAAGTTTTTCTGTGATGCAATGATTTTAGTTTTTAATGTATTTTTAAGTTTTTGGACATAATTGGAAAGAATATAAGTATTAAATATATTTCAGTATTTTTAATATTTAAGGAATAGAAAAAGGACAGAAAAGTTCTGAGGTTATCTACATTTCTAAAAGTCAATGCTGATACAAAAATGATGACCTTAAAATTTAAACATGTATAATAATCACCTCTACCGGATATATGAGAACTGAAACCAAGTAGTAAAACAAAAACAACATTTTGAACCGGACGTTGGACACTTAGACATTTTGTTATGGCGATAACGATAACATCGCAGCAGCAGCAGGTGGTAGGTCGGCAGGGCTGCCAGAACTAGTACAATGGGCTTGTTTGTATGATTTTTGGTTTATAGGTCACTTGATAGACATTTCAAATTGTGAAACGATGCACTTTGTTTCAGCTCTCTAAGTTTCGTAGTTTTTCTGTAATTAATTATTAAAAATCGAATTTGTTAGGCCGGTGACGTCACTGGCCTATTCGCGCTTCTGGTTCGATTGACCAATAGGAACAACACAAATAATCAACATTGTCAAATCTTAAAATTCACGAAGCCTTATCAATTTAATAATGGAAATGTATACGATACCGTTAACGTATAAATTAATGAAAAATTCCCCATATGGAATAAAATGTACTCGAAAAATCATGTTTGGAAATAAGTTCTATATCTAGTCGAAAGATCACAAAATATTTACCTAATCTATGATTTTATACATTATTTAATAATATACAGTTATGAAAATCAAAAAATGTAGCAAACTGGATTGTAGTTTTTATTACAACAATTTATAGTTAGTATATAAGTTCATACATAAGAAAGAAGATTGATTTCAAATTTTATTCAATTTATTCTACAATTTTCAGTCTGTTCAACTGCAATTTATTACCAAAAAAAAACGATTTCTTATTGGTCAACACAAATGTCAGCTCCGGTAAAATAACTCAATTGTTTAACATTTGTTACTATTATGCACAATGCGCTCGTCTTCACTTATACATGCCCGCACACATACACTCATCCTACATACAGACCTCTTCCTTATATTGCTACTATATTCAAGATTTACAGGCTCGCTTGGGTAATCTGATGAATCTTCTACAACTTGAGAGGAAAGTTGAATGAGGTCAAGTGTAACAATAGTTAATTTTTCTGTTCGAGTTTCCACAACACTCAATCTAAACTCGATGAAAAAACGAATCGTTCTTACGCGAGCTGTCAGCTAAGAACAAGCAGAGTGGCCCCGATATTACATACAATTTCAATGCCAAATAAACCAATAAATTGTGATATGGGTACTCCATTTTCCTAAGAAAATGAACCTTCTGTAATTATTCATTCATTTATTTAAGAATGAAGCCAGCAAAATCAACATACAATAACAAGATCGCTCGATTCCACGAATTAAGCATAAAAATGGACACTAATCGATGCCTTGATAACTGATAGATTACAAGTCCTATCTTAAAATGATTCTTTAATGAGCTTTATTCTCAAATGGTTCTCGAAGGCTCATGAACCCTAATAAAATAAGAAATTTAACGTTACTGGTACGTTACTGGCCATATTGCCACACAGTCAGCTATCTCTCTTTAATATATGAGACAATGTAATTTTTCGTATTTTTGTTAAAATAATTTGAAAATGAATGTTGAGCCTGGTTTTGTTAAAGCTGACTCCGACAACTTACCAAGAGTCGATTTTCAAATGATTAATGGCGGTTCTCTATCGGTTCAAGTTCAAACTCCCTCTCATCTTTCATGCAATACACCTAGAAAAAGGAAGTTTAGGAACAAAATTCGCGTACTAAACCAGAAAATCGATTCTCTTAAGAAAAATCAAACCAAACAGCTATCCAGTAAGGAATTGTATTTAGATAGTGTACTAAATTTTATTGAGAAACGTTGCCTTGAGTCAACTGCAAAATTAATAAAATTTCAATTAACTGAATCTCATAAATCTAACAAGGGAGTCAGGTATACGGATTGGATGAAACAATTCGCTGTAGCAGCTTATTTACTAGGGCCCAAATGTTATCTGTACTTTTCCGATAAATTTAAATTGCCCTCTAAATCAAATCTGAGAAGAGAAAGTAAGAAGTGGCCCATTAATGTTGGATTTAATCCGTTTGTTTTTGAGGTTAAGTTAAAAATAACATTTTTTCTTCTGTGTCCTCATTTAAGGAAAATAATCTGTCACTTGTTTGCTTTGTATTATTACTACTATTTGTCTGTTGTACTATCGGTTTTTTGATTGTTCCTGTATTTCTATTATTTACGGCATGTTGAAATACTATTCCATTAGATGGCTGTGAAATTCTACCATCTGGATTGATTAAGATTTCATTTAATGCTTGCCTATCATACCCCTGTCTACTTTCAGTCCGCTTATTACTATTTTTTACTCTTATACTTTGAGCAAACGACCTCTTGTTACTCATATTATTATTTGCAAATACTTCCCTGCGTTGTTCTACTAATATTCTGTCATTCATAGGTACATTTCCATTATTCAATGTAGGAAATTGTTGGGATTGTAAGTGAAAGGTTCGCGACTGTTTGGGAAAAAATTTAACTGCCTCATAAAAAGAAATATTATCAAAGGTCATTTTTTCACGTATTTTTTTTTTGCCGTTCAAACTCCGTACAATGTTTACTATTAGATTTATGATCATTACTTTCACAAAAAAGACATTTGATATTGACACAGTTGTTATACTCTTCTTCTTCTTTATGTTGTGTTGTGCATGAAAAACATTTTTGTGACCTTTGCAATTTTTCTTTATATGACCATATAACAAACAATTATAGCATTGTGCGATTGGTGGCACATATGGAGTTGTTACATATGTTAAGTAACATATGTCAATATAACGCGGAATTATATTGCCTTTGAACGTTATTAGAATAGTGGACGCAGGTACATATTGTACTGTTCCATCTTGGCTAGTCAAGCGTCTGTTCATTCTTTTCACATTTAATACTTTGATAGGACTCTTAATCAACTTTTTTAGCTCAATATCTGTAAAATCTGTACTGATTTCTTTAACTACCGCTTTACATGTAACGTAACTATAGGGTATGTAAACTTTATAACCTTTATTTTTCAATCTATCATCTTCAATCATCTCGTTTGCACTATTTATGTTGTTGAATTCAATTCCTACTTTATTTTTTCCTTTAATTTTAATTCTGATTATATTGTAAAGTTTTAAATCACATATCTCTTTTGCTATTTTTAAATGTGAGAATCTCCCTGCTCTTCCCCCTAACTCTTCGTTCATTTCTACCATTACCAGAAATGGACCTGGCATTCCCTCACTATATGTTATTATCTGCTCGTTATCTCTAACGTCTTCCTCGTTTACTTCCCTATCCATATTATTATCGTTTTGTAGAGATGAAGTGAATTCCCTAGTTGATCCTATATCATTTTCATTGTCTTTGTTACTAAATATGTTCCATACTTCACCATCTAAACTATCTCTACCTGAACTTTCCTGCTCTTTATCCTGATTGCTACTATTCCCGAATCTCATACCCAATTTCTCTTCTAAATGTTGTTTTTTGGGGGAGGATTCCTCCCCCTCTCCTCCTAACATGTTCAAAGTACCTGGATTATATTGATATAAAATGTCCTGACACTATTTTTGATTCTATTTCAATTCAACAGATATTAAACAAAGTAGATCCCAATTAAAATGTCCCAGATAGAAGAAAGATAGTAAAAAAAGAAAAAAGTATTACCAGCACTCTCACGCAGTTCAAAGCAATAAACGATGTTCACTCTTTGAAGGTTGCACCGAGAATCCGTGTTAGAGTTAACTAATCAGTGACGTCATTTGACAGCTTTTGCGATTAATTGATGAAATTCATTGCTTTTAACAAAGGAATATGTGATATGCAATGATTTGTAAAAGACAGCTGACTTGATTTTGTTTCTGTTTGCTGGTTGACTTGATGTGAGCAAAATGTGAGCGTTTTTAATGAAGTTTGTGAGCAGTCTGACTACAAGCTATCGGCAACACTGTACATTTCAGTCATTTTATAATGGCAGCGCTGTAGGTCGGTAGGTGCAGGTCATAGAGAAATTATATATTGTCTTTGGTGTTTGGTGCAGGTGGTACCACAAAACAGTGTGTGGCTGTTTTGTGGGTGGTACTGGTTACTGGTGGTAGGTGGTAGTTAATGGTGTAATGTGATGGTGTGTGTAGATGGTTACTTTCATAAATTTGTGAGATGGAAGTTTTTTCTTAGAATAAATATTGACGTTTTATAGAAAAGTGGAAGCAAGTATAGGTAGGAAACAAAAATTTTCAATTTTATTTGGCAATGAGTTAATAATATAAATTGTAAAAGTAACTAAAACTGATCACAGTCCAATTATAACGTAATTTACAATGCATTTAGATATTTAATCTGGTATGGACATAACATTTTAGATATAATAAATAATAAGACCGTTAGACAAAAGGTTTCAGAAAATTAACTGTGAAGATTTATTTTATGTCATTATTTCCAAAGTATATAAAATTTTCGATTTCATATTGGTAATCAGGATTGCTGTACATTTATTCTCTTGTACACTTGTAAATATAAAAATATTTTTTCTTTTCAGAATTCATTCCTACAGAATGTATTATTTAGTACAGTTTGTTGGAGATTGTGTGTACCATGTTTGTGAAAAAAAGGACATCAAATTTCAAGGGAAAATCAAATGTGCCAAATGGGGAAACCATTATTATGAAGTGAATGTACTATTCATGTTTGACGCTCTAACAGTAGTACAAGAATTACATTTAAATCTAACACAATCGCTTCCCCGAGTTGTACTTGACAAACTTTGCTCTGGTGAGTTAATATTCTTCCTATGATACTAAACTGAGGGTATCTTATTATTCTATGGGGTGAGTGATATTCTAGTACCTAAATGCTTACATAGAAAGTTAACTATTTCAGAATTGCACTTGATAACAAAAACAACAATCAAATATGATTATGTGACTAATGTAACAAGGATTTCTTCAATGCCAATTTCAATTTTGCTCGATTGAAAAAACATTTAATTTCATTTGGTAGGCAGTTATATATTTGTAAAATATAGACCTTGGTTTGTATAGATTTTTTTTTGGTTCAGATAGAGGTAGATGGCAAATGCATTTTAATGCTTTATAAACATCTTAATGGTTTTAAAGTTATAGTAAAAGCAGTTCATTATATACTGATTAAATACTGTAATTTTGAATGTATAAGTGAAATAGTTATTTATGTACCAAGGCAAAAACTGTCTATTATAATCGAGTCTACAAATTGATAGCCAAGGCTAGCAAGCAGGCGAGGTGCATATTACATTTTTTCGTTGACCTTTTAGCTTTACTACAAAAATAGGCCAGAATATTTTCTGAGAGATTCTCGACATTATGTTTCAGACGCCAGTTGTTAAATGTGTTGTATATTGCTTTTCATGAAAAACTCATACAAACTCTTGCATTAGACTTGAAATTGTAAATATTACATTTATACATTCAATTGAACTCGCCGAATTATTTTTTAGATATATTGATGCTAAATAAAATAATTTTAGGTTTGCCACCTTCGACACCAGTTGAACAAAAATTAGATAATGGAATGAAGGAACCAAGATATAGCTCTGAAATATCAGAAAGTGGTAAAAATATCTTTTATACTACAATTTTAACCATTCTTACTCTACTAATGATTAATTATGATTCCAGCATAATGATTTCATATGGATTTTGAGTATGAAAACTAGTATCGTGTATCTTTTGTCAGTGTGTTGTGTAACTGTCAGAAACCATATGAAGTTGGATTTGAATGATATGTTACTGCCTTAAAAACAGTGCACTATTTCAGATAACGATCCCTTTGAAACCGATGATGATGACTCTTACTACCCAAGCTCTGGTGAGTTGAATAATAATTGTGACACACCCACTAGAAACATTGAAAGTGTTGTTATCAATAGATATATCAAACAGAGGAAAATTGTCTTTGATACTGAATTCGGATATTCTGCAGAAGACACTGTGCAAATCAACAATTTTGATCAGTCTATTCATTGTAGTAATAGTACCCCTGAAACAGAAGCATCTACAGGTGAGAAATGGTCTTTCGTCTATTTCTGTATTTCCTTTTTCAAAGCTTCTTACTAGAACTATACATCAGATCAGAAAAAAAGAGATTTCAGAAATTTGTTCACAATTTTGGGTTCATAACTTTGAGTTTGTGAATGTGATTGTAGATAAATTTATGAATATTTCATTAATTCACTTAGTATTTTTTTACATGAATTTTATTATTTAATATTTCACATTTACAGTCCTTGATATTTTTATATTATTTTTCAAAATAAGTATCAGTAGATACTATTATTTTCATTTATGTACTTTTATTTACAAGCTCTTTTAAATTTCATATTTACCGTATGCATTCAATTTTAATGAATATCAGTCAGTGCTGTTTGAAAAAAAATGTGTTTGACTGTTAACCAACTATCGCCCCCTTACGAATGAGAACTCTCAGAAGTTGAAGCTTGTGCGAACAATGCGATTGACAGGATCTTACCTTTTGACGTGCGATTTCCAGCACAGAATATACATGATTTTGCAGGTCATGGGTGCAACACTTTTAACGGCGCTGATAAAAATTTCTGATACCCCCCCCCCTCCAGTTTATTTTTGATATTCATGATTTGAGTTTTTTAGTGAGTCCGTGGATGGTGCCTTCGAAAGAGGATGGTAATCGTTATTATTTACTACTAATTGGAGTAGTAATGGATATTAAACTGATCACTTCAAAACTCAAAACCATTAACTATAATAATATAATTGTCACATTGGGTAAAGAAGAAAAATATAAACTCTTAAATACAATGAATGGGTTAAAGTGTGTATTTTTACTATGAGTGAATATTTCAAATCAAAATATCTGCTATATGATTGATCAACAGGCTACATCAAACAGAAGGATGACATAGTTAAATATGAATTGAGTTGAAAGTTTTCAAATACCTTATAACACACACTGATAACATTTTGTATCTATATACAGTTACAAGGTTAGTTAGCAATACTCAGCAATAAATAATGAATAGATTTGTTTTAAGTTTGTAAATGACTGATTTTTTCAAATTTGTGGCCTGTGATGTTTCTAAATTGCTTCACTAGTAAATTATGTGCCTTCATGTTTAATTGAGTAATTCTTTTTTCTGATATGCAAAGCAATTACAAGAAATATACACCAGCTGTATCAGGTATAAATATTCACATTGTTTGAGAATTGACCACTATTTCTAGAAAAAAAATCAGGATATTTGTATATTTCTTCACAAAATTAACCAGAGCCAAGTAGTAAGGGTACTGCCAAAATGCTAAGTTCAGGAAATTACAGCTTCTTTAGATTGTGAAAGTTTTGGTGAGATAAATGGATAAAGTAATATTTGTTAATACTGATATCTTCACAGCTAGAGCTCAACATAATTAGCACCTAATTCATTTTACAAGACAAATGTAAAGAAAATTGTCCAATTAAAATGACAGAACAGCCACTAAAAATACAGAACATTCCACAGCACTGTCAATTTTTAGGATTTTTTCAATAAACACTAGTGCTATCTTTTTAGGGATGTTGAATGTATTTTATCTAGAGACCTGTTAATAATTACATTTGTACTAAGTCAGTTGATTTCCCTATCATGAAACAATGTTGAAGTAATTTAATCAGATGATAATGGTCTTACCCATTGCACTGCATTTACTTTAATATTCAGTATTTCAAACATAGGTATCACGACTGTTGAATTGAATACATTTTTAAATTTTGCAGGTGTTCTCAAACAAAAAAATGATTCAAGTAGAAAAAGTAAAGTTCATTCATGTTTGTACTGCGGCCAAAATCAAACCAAGCTAACAAGACATCTTGAACGAAAACATTCTGAAGAGGAATTAGTCAAAATGGCTCTGAAATTAAAAGAAGGTGAATATTACTTCCTATGGTACTGCTTCATTTGATTCTGAATTTTTATATTCAATTCTACCTTTGACAGACATGACATGACCGAGAACAAAAGATGATATTAAAATTTGTGCAAAAGGACAAAGAATTAATATTAGCATTATGAAGTTGAAAGTTGACTAGCTCTCCATGTCAATTTAATTCATTCTGAATGAAGCAAAATTTATGAAAGCAATATTTCAACTTTTTATTAGTGATAATGTTAATGCTAATAGTAATTTACACTACATGTTGTCGCCATAAATTAAAGAATGGTAGATACTGTCAAAAATCCAAAAGAAAAATGATATTAAAATGATTTTGACGGTATTGTTTATTAATTTGAAAGAAAAGAATAAAACCCGAATTATTTGGTTTTTTCTTTTAGGTTCCGAAGAGATAGGCCTATAGTGATATTGTAACAATGGGAAAAGTGTTGACTGATGCAATGGACAAAGGACATGGTAGTCAGTATCATAATTTAATGGATACTGATATTGTTTTTCATGGAACAAATATTGAATCTTCTGCAAATCTGTCGGTTATAGAAGAAGAATTAAGTGGTGAAACAACTTCAGAAGATATATTGCCCAAAGAAAATAAAAATTTAACTTGCAAACCCAGAACAAGAATTATCCAACACTCGGTTTTACAAAAATCTAAAAGGACCTGGAGAACCCCAGAAAGAAAATTAATC